GGTCTTGCTCTGTCACCCAGGCTGGAGTTCAGTGGTGTGAAGAGAGCTCACTGCAGCCTCCAACTCACGGGCTCAAGCTATCCTCCTGCCTCAGCCTCCTGAATAGGTGGACTACAGGTGCTACACCACCATGCCCAGCAAATTTTTAAATTTTTTGAACAGATGAGGTCTTGCTAAGTTGCAGGCTGGTCTGAAACTCCTAGCCTCAGGCAATCTTCTTGCCTTGACTTCCCAAAGTGCTAAGATTACAGGTGTGAGCCACAGCGCCCATCCCTGAATTACTTTTTGATATCTGAAGTAGCTGAGCAGATTTCCTCTAGGATTTACAATAAGCTTTCATTAAATGACACTTATAATTATGCCTCAGAAAAATGTGAAATTTCTGAAGCCTATTCATTATTTCTACTAATCAGCAATATGTGAGAATTTTGTGAAGGAAATAGGTCTGGAATATGACTGGAGTCCGTAATAACTACTTAGGTTAGGAATAATTTTCTACCTATCTTAAAAAATAATTAGCATTTTAAACAAAAATTCTATTATTAATTAGACTTTCCATCGAACTGAAAAACATTCAAGATAATTTTGTAAGTGATATGACTTGATATTGGTATAACTGGGTGTCTACTGCATACAGTGTACAAAAACTTAAATGAACAAAATACCATTAAGAAATAACTTAGATTTATACCTAATTTAAAATCTGATACAACATAATAAAGTAAGAGGAAACATAGAAGTATTTAAGTGTCTATTGGTTGTTGGAAATTTATTTTCCAGTTATCAAGTGAAAATAAATACATACTCTGTAGGAACAACTGCTTTGTTTAAATAGTGGTTCCAAAAGTTCTCTTGGATTAGGGCCTTTATATTCCTTTTCTTCTTCCTACAAAAAAATTAGAGTTTAATACTTATGATTTTTCTAGAACTTGACCCAATTCTGCTGAGTCAAATCACAAATGCTTTGGAAATAAAAGAGGAAAAAAGTTGGAATCTTTAACAAGATCCTATGGTAGGCCACTTCTTTCAAATGAATTGAAGTATGAAATATGGAGCCAGAGAATAATCTTCCATAGTAGTCATTCTTTCTTCTCTTAAAAAAAGGTTTTTAAGTATCAGTTTCCTGAATAATTCTTATAAACCTATTTCAGAATTTTTAAAGCTTGACCCCAACAAATTCTAGCTATAAAAGCCTTAGAATAGTTGAATATTATAGGA